AAAATGCCTGATTGTACATTTATGAATACGTTGGATCATTTTTCATCTTCGTATGAAACTAAAATGGAGAATTTTATATACTCTCATTATACTTTTGATGAATATCGTTTCTTATATTTTACATGACACTCAATTTTTTTATTATCTAATAATTTTAGTGGGCGCTTGAACATCCTAGCTAACGTTTGTCGCAAACCTCTCGAAGATATATTTTGTCAATTTGATTCTAAGCTCGAAGCTGCAGATGAAGGCAGTGGGGATGTTAAATACCACCTTGGTATGAGCCACGAACGCATAAATCGCGTCAACAATAAACGCATAAAAATTGCTGTTTGCGCTAATCCAAGTCATTTGGAGTCTATTTGCCCTGTTGTGCAAGGTAAAACAAAATCGGAGCAGTTTTATCGGTGAGCTGAACATTTCAATGAACTTTGTTCTGAGATAAAGCATCCCTTTTTCTTTTTTGCACCAGTTAAAACGATTTACTTGCTTTATTGTCGTATGTATTTAACAATTTAGGGGTGATACTGATGGAAAAAAAGTTATGTCTATTCTTCTTCATGGCGATGCAGCTTTCTGTGGCCAAGGTGTAGTGTATGAGACGTTTCATTTGAGTGACTTGCCTTCTTATACTACAAAAGGAACCATTCATATCGTTGTAAATAATCAGGTAATAATTCTATTTTATCCTATATTTAACATTTTTCTATTTAAGCATAAATTTGGTCTTAATTTGTTTATATTTTGCCCTTAATATGCATTGCCTTTTTAATTAATAATAGCTTAATTGTGTGGCTTTTGATTCCATCAATGTGGATCTTCTTTCCTCACGAGGAGGTCCTAATGGCTACTCACTACCTAAGTTTGGCATCGTGATCGTATTCATATTTTATCCGGGCTGTTCGATCGATTATTCTCTTATTTCTTAGGTTCACTTATCCTAATACATAGCGTATATCTGTCATATAAACGGATATCCTCAGGGCTAGAACTCCTCCCTTAATTAGCTTCATTCCTAACTTGAGGCTTTTGATAGGGTTAGTTTCATCTCTGACGATTTCTGTCCAACGGTATAGTGGAGATAGGTTTAGCCTGTTTTTATTCGAAACGAGGGAGGATGTCTCGTGGACTGCGTCAACCTAAATGACTGACAGAATAATGGGACTTAGACTTCGCATTCTGATGAGATTAACCAACGGATCTCTTAATCATGT